AGTTATGTAAGTGGCAACACAGCTAGTGGTTAATGCTAAAAGAAAGATCCAATTTTCTTCCGTCTAATATTTTCCTTTTGCATAATTCCATCAATAAATGTCAAGTAACTTGTCTCAATGGGCCCCGGCTTAGTATAACCATTACAAGAGAATGGAATAGAGACTGGGCCTACTTCCGGTTTTTGCTACTGACGAATACACCCAACAAGGCTCCCCGACGATCAGTTACGTTAAAGACATCGTACATAGACATAGAGACTTACCAAGCTTATATAATCACGCCATATTTTTGCATGATTTACAAGAGGACATTATTATTGATGGAGATTTAAATAATACTTTGCTGGCGGGGCTATCAAATTAGGTAAATATTAGCAAACTCTGCCCGTCCCATGAACAATTGAAAACAAGTAGTATTTGTTAAACTTTTATACGGTGGGCTCATTATAGTAATGTTTGCTGCGGGATTATGTATCATTATATAATTCAATATAAAGTAATTGGTTTCAAGAAGTTTCGTATATTTACATAAAGGGGGATGTTGAAAATTAAAATACAAGCGATCTAATTATATGTTTTTATATACACTACCATCAGTGAAATCATTTCTAGTATGTCATGTAGGCCTACCAATTCTAAAACCGCCATTTTGAACATGGAGGAAGCCACTAATGTCCTAGGAATAGCATTGATGATGTTTTAGGATTGGCATTATAGTTAGGAAAAATTGTTGAACAGATGACCGTATTATTTTGATTTTTCGATCGCTTCGATGTTTTCGCAAGTCATCGGCTGTAATCTTATGCGAACATATAGATACACGCAATTATTGCTAACCTCCTGTGTCAATAAACAGTGACCATACCTAATTGGTAAATAAATTTACAAAGATGAAAGAAGCGGGCTTAAGAGAAGATATTCGGGACTCTGTGTGTGTGGGTAGGAAAATTTGGGTTGGGAGCGGGAAGGGGGGGGGGGGCAGAAAGGGTTAATCTTAAAAATGGAGGAGTCTGTCGAGCAAACCAGATAGGATGTAACTCTCCCCAGGGGTATAGGACAAGGCCGTGATATGGGTTCATTTGCGAAACGCAGTGCTTCTAAAACTTTAATATTTAATATATATTATTTGATAATAATGTATAATAAAATGGAGGACTTAAAAACATTTTTTTACAGTGCTTTTAGGTATAAGATAGTCCAGAGTATAGAATGTAATTATTACAGGACTGTGGCTATCATCTTACGGTCAATTTAATCTATTCATCTTCTAACAAGTGCTGTTTAACCCCATTCAAGTGTTAATTAGGAGAAAAAATTGGACAATCTGTCACGTAAATATACCACTACTGTACTCAACTTGACTTAGCCCAGCGGTTTCAATTTGTAAAGAGAAAAGTGTAGAAGATAATAAATCTGTGAGTCCTTTCAAACAGAGAAATAATATACCAAGGTCGGCTAGTACATGACTTGCGGATGTTTGTCACAAGTAACAAGTTATTATCGTCTTTTTTAAAAACATTTCAATTTTAGTGCATATTGTGCACTCTGTCATTTGTTTAGTTAGTTAGATTTGTTTTTTAATTATACGTGTAATCAAAATTCGGATTTGAAATAACTATATTCTATACTGCACAATTTCAAAGAGCTCTATTATATACTACACAGCAATTTTTACATTCGCAAGTGTTTCACGTGCAATGTCGATCATGTTCCTGCTGACTCTATTTCGTACTGGTAAACTTGCACCATCCCTTTGTTTTAACGTCTGTACACTATTTCTCAAGATTTATAAACTTAAACATACATTATGCAAGAGGTAAATCTGCCTATTGCAGGTCTTCCTTTGGGCCTGAAATGTTATATAAACTATTAATTAGACATTTATTAACATGAAAAGACCATAATCAACTCTCGATTCCATCTTATCTGTTCGATTGGACTGAATCCGATCTGCTGTTCAACGTCCGTTGTTAAACGCAAAACTGGATAATCGAGACTTTGCTACAGTGATTTTAAAATAGGGTTTTCTCGGCTTAGAGTGAAGCAATTTGACTGAAATTTTTAGCATATTCCCTTTACATCATCTAGTTATTATAGTGCAAACTGCCAGCTCTTTATCTAATCTTCCATAATGTATCTTTCCAGGGCAAATGTTGTAATACTCATAAAGTCTTTTATGTTTTGCCAATGAAAAGGATTCTAAGACAACATACTCCTTTAATACTGAATTTTTTAGCATATTCCCTTTACATCATCTAGTTATAACCATTATAGTGCAAACTGCCAGCTCTTTATCTAATCTTCCATAATGTATCTTTCCCTGGGCAAATGTTGTAATACTCATAAAGTCTTTTATGTTTTGCCAATGAAAAGGATTCGGAGACAACATACTCCTTTAATACATACATGTAAATGGAGTAAGGTGTATTTCTAAAGCATTCGCTTTTATGTAAAAATCCAGGAATGTCCCCGAAATACAAATTCATTTTATATTCAGTCTCTTTGAAAGTATTAGAGTATACTGCTGATACGTGAAATGATGAAAGGGGTTGTATTTTCCATTGATCTTATGTAATAAAATATATACTAGATATAAGGCTTGGGATTCACTAGTAGAATGAATCTCAATAATAAATATTCCTGTGTTATTACAGGCGTTTACTATATTGTTAGATCAAAAGTAGACAATTTTATCTTTACTTTCGTTATATAACTTATAATTATTATGGACATGGTTATATTCATATGGTTTAGTTATAATCATTAATGGTCTCTATACGTTTTGATGGTTATCTTGAACCTACTAATAACACTTGTTAATGGGCATATATCGTTGGGCGCAGACTGTCGATGTACAACACAGTGACACATTGCTGATATATATATTCAACGCAATTAATTGCGTGTGGGTTTAGGATCTGTCTTCTTGTTTTCAGCAACTCGGAAGTGTCATTATTACCGGGAGATGCCTGCGATATACGCGTTTTAAGTTTTCAATGAATAAGGAGACATACAAATGTACCCCATGGTTTCCCAGTCGTTGAATAATGCAAAAAGTACAAAAAATTATTTTCGCTATGGAAACTCTTCAATCTTCAAACGTGAAGTGTTTTATTTGGTGTTCTAGAAAGAGTCCACATACCCACCCCGGTTTACGACACCTGTAATTACTTTTAAAAAAATGCCCGCGCTAATTAAAATACAATACCCCCAAAGATCGCTGTTTCGATTTTTAATAATATTGAGTTCATGGTTATCTTTCATATGAATTGTCGAATATTAATTTTCAGATATTTTCTTCGCGAGAGTAATAGGCCCACTACCTTTTTACATACAGTTGATCTAGAAAAGAGCATCCGTGAAAGGGGATATCGAATGACTGAATAAAAGATATTATAGCCGAAAGCCAACCTTAAAAGTTGAAGGTTAAAATATGAATATGGTAGACAAGTTTTAACCAGACCCACTGGTTAAACTTGATATTATTTAGTGTAGGTCCGTAACAAGTATATCGTAGACAGTATTCCCTTTGTCTTTTGTTTTACGTGGTTAATAAAATAGCCCGCGGTCTGACATTAAACAATCACACTTTTCCATAACAAGTAGGAAATGAACATCAAACCTTCGGGCAGAGAGTTCTAAAATATAATTTCCTAAAGATAAAGTAGGTCGTTTGTGACAGATTCTGGAAATTTGGGTTGTTACATGAAGACAAACTCTAAAATATGTTATTAACAACGGGTGTTCTCAAATTAGAAGGTGGAGTGATCTGTCATTGAGTTAAAATACAATAATTGTACCATATTTATCCCGAAATTACTTAGTTTGTGTCCAGTGGACGTTCATCTCTCGGGCGAATGATTTATTTATTGTCAAAAAAAACAACAACAAAAAAACAATTGATTAAATGAATCAGTCATGCCTTCTTTGTAATGGGCACATTCTAAATGTTACAAAGAAGTCCTTTTCACCAAAAGTAATAATCACGAATCTATTATTATTATTATTAGAATTAAATATCTCGTCGACACTTCATTTTCCAGACTTTATTTTTTCATGGAAGATGGGCAGAACACGGCCAGTTCGAGAATAGGATAATATATATATTTTTTTTTTTTATGAAAGTTAAAACTTTCCGTTGACAAATACATGACGACACAGCATGATATAAATCAATACTATTTGTGTGTTAGTATGTTATTAATTTCGGCCATTATTATACATGCCGAACAGATGTATTGAATATAAAAAGATAATTATATATGCCGAACATCTATTGAATATAAAAGAATATTGTTTTAATAGCAATAGTTATCAATGAATTATTGGTTTACGTATTTGTGCAGTTCATAGTTTATTTTTCAGCGACTTTTCCCTTGTCAATGGCGGATGACGGGGGAACATGGTCTGTTCGTTCGGACGGTACCAAAAAAAACCAAAAAACAAAAACAAAAAGGTCCCGTGTACATTGTGGTGAGCACGCAACAGAATCATTGAAAGTTGGAATTCCATTGATGTCCGGGCAAAATTCCCCTCATAGTACACTGTATGGCGTTTGTCCGTCTTCATTATCCCGGTTGGTGCAGAAAAGTAGGGCGTTCATCGTTTTCTTGGTTTGCATTGAAATGGGTTGGAATAGTTCCGGTTGTTGTGTTCGCTTTCTAATTAGATTATTTATAATTGTTCGTAAGGCCTATCTTTGAATTAATTGCCCAGTAATTTAAACCCATTCGCTTTGCTTTAGAAAACGGCTACTGAAACAAGAAATGGCCTAAATCTTCTCGTATCGAGCTTCATTCCATTGAGATCGAAAAGACGACCCCGTCTTCCGGTTACATCTGGTAAACCCAAATTAGACCTTTTATGAAAACTTGGTAACACTCGCTAATTGGTGTTAACAAATTAAGTTTTCAAAAATCGAATATTGGCAGGGTATTTTTAAAATAGAATAAAATGTCAGTCTATAAACGATTAGACTGAACAACATTACAGCTATTGATCCAAACAGGTCGTTCATGTTGATAACAACACGTATGCTTTGTAGTCGCCCCGTTACTTCTGCACGCAATGAGATAAATTTAGTAACATGTACAGTCACGCAGCCTGTGCGCTGCGTTCAACCAATCACGTTCCGGCTTGTTACACGTCTGCCGTAGTGGATATCAGACGACTGTCGATTGTAACTACCAAGACGCAAAATGGAGAATACCGATATCAAATTTGATGAGCGTTTAGTCGCTTTAGTCCGCGATCATCCTATGGTGTACGACTCAAAACACAAGGACTATAAAAATAAGAAAATGAAGGATGAAATTTGGAAATCCGTCGGACAAGAACTGGGATATTTAGGTATGTAAATACTGTGGAAGCACAATACATTTTAACGTTCAGTTTGTACACGTTCGGCTATCTCCATGTCGTTCAGTATTAAGCTTGGCTCGCCGCCAACAGAAAGGTCAGGTTAGTCGCGATCGCCAAGACTCGTTTATATTTACGATTAAGTAGGGCGACCATGACTTGCAGAAAGAAACTTGCCGTAGACGGTGAACACATTGGTAGCTTTCTTTTCGATATAAAATTTTTATCAAAACATTTGTGTACTATTGAGTAGGAATTTATTACAATGCACATATTTGTTGATTTTATTAATTTAATGTATTTAGAGTCGGCTAAAGCAGAAAACAAAATGTCGATCGACCTACACAGTGCAAGGCGAACAATATATAGCCTTTATTAAGTGACATTGACTTGTTCAAATTTTTGAAAGATTTCTTTCTATCATAACTGACTTTATATTGATTTTAACCATTACAATAACAGCTGGGTTAAACCTTAAAATAGATCCATCGGAAAATAGTAAAAAAAAAAAAATACATTTGTAAACATTTGTCGCTGCAACTTTTGCTGAGGTAGCGGCTATGTATGTGTATGCCTAGACCAAATCTTAACCCATGGCTTTAGAAAAACATAATCGAGGTCATTTCAAAACTAGCATAGTATTTAGCAGTGGGTTGGTGGCTCAGGAACGACAGAAAATGTCACGAATTTTACCAAACTAAATAACCAGAAAATGCCTCATGGCGGCCATCTTGAATATTTACATTTCCCTAAGGGTGGCAGCTTGTGGCATCATCTGGATTCTGAATCTACACATATTGAAGATATATTATATATAATCAATCAACAAACATCAGGTGGGCAATATTTCCAGGTTTGTCCATCTGCTGCTAAACTATATGGTATGATTTTCTTTCAATAATTCGCTTCCGCGTATGACTCATCAGCAGTGGAGGTAAACCGGAGATTGTTAGGCATTATTATCGAAACCACGTAACTTGACTCAATGACGGACCTTGTGATCTAAAGCACACGCGTTAAACCATTAACAATGCTACATCGACTTTTTTTTTTTTTTTTTTTTTTTAGTATAAACGGGTTTGAATTAAATAATGATTTTGGCACCCCGGGAGCAATCTTTGTGGGTCTTCGTAGGAATGCGTCACCCTACTTGGAACAAATGAAGACAATGTGTTATAATTAGTAAAATTGTAGATTATCCCGTAACGCTAGCCATGAGAATATTGATTATTATGTTCAACAAAGTGTTTTTATATTTACAGGAGATGATTGTCAGTATAGATGGCGCGTCATAAGAGATAGATATGTCAAGAAGAAGAAAGAAATGTTACGCCGACCGGGTGTACCAGAAGAAACGATCGTATCAACATGGAAACTCTATTATAACGTCGACGAATTTCTCAGTCCTTATATCGTGCACCGTAACAGATTACAGCCCGCGTACTACGATGACAACAATCAATTAATATTTATGAAGGAAGAAGATTCGGGTTCTCCTCATGTTTTGGACGAAGGTTCGACGCCCCCGTATGTGGCCTTCGAATCGGCCCTTGATGATTCGGTAGATGATGTTAATAGTGAAAGTGTTGTGGGAACAGATCAGAGACCGCCAAAACTTTCTCATTATAACAGTGACATACAAAGTGATGTTAGTGATTTTACTAGGGTTCACCAGAACGGTTTGATCAACCTTGATGATACCCTTCGACAGCTCCCCAATTCGAGAAAAAGAAGAGCCATTCAGAAAGAGGACGATTTAAGAATAATGAGTGTGGTCTCAAATGAAAGACAAAATGCCTTAGACGAAGAGGCTCATTTTGGATGCATTGTAACATCCACGCTAAGGCGACTCCCACCCAAACAGCGTGCATTAGGCAAACTTAAACTAACGGAACTCCTTTATAAATTAGAATTTCCAGAAGATAGCCCAATTGAACCCCTTTTACATCAAGAACACAAAATTTCCAATACTGCGGAAGATGAAAAAGAGTGATAATTTCGCCATAATAGTATGAAATACAGAATTATTTAAATATTTTCAGAAGTAAGCTTAATCTAAATCTTAAACCTACTTAATTAAAGTATTTATATTTTTAATTTTTAATCATTATATCAGTATATAAAACCTATCTCATTAAAACCTAATTTTTACAAGCATATCTTAATTATATTCTGTTTATTTCGTTGTTTTATGTTATAATGTATTGTTAATTGTTTACAATAAATGTTATTATAATTTTCCTTATTCATGGACATTCTATAGCAGTGTACTATTACACTCAATAATCCCCCCCCCAGTCGTTGTAAACGGCAGTATTTTTAACATAGTTATGTCGTCACCCCGTCGGTCTGTCCATTCATCGTCCACAATTGCTTATTATCAGATTGACTTGAAATTTATACACATTGTATTTGTGATCATGAATTTGATAAATCGTGTGTACCTCTAGAGGCTAAAGTCATCGTCCGTTGGACATACGGTGTTTCAACCATTTCTGATAATTACTAAGAGTTTGGCCCTTGACCAATTTGAAAATTCTTGTGTATGCTCTAGCTAAACGAACAGCTGTATCATCTGATTGCTGGCACATATTTTGTATGATAAATATTAGCACTAGGAAGAACTAGAATCTAACCAATTTTGATTATTTCTGATAATTATTTCATGAGATGTTACTCTTGAGCTGTATTAGTGTCCTCTAAATGCTCCCATTATCTATAAAAGGACTGTCGGACGACTTAACTGATGTTCGTTGCCAAGCAACGTATTCTATATTCAGACGACAGAAAAGAAAACATTCATGCTACCCCGTTCGTGTTTCCTGTTAGTATGTCGTTACAAACGAGATTGGGTTCAGTTATCTAAAGGTCCGTTCATACTACATCCGTATCCGTATCTGTAAATACGTGCGTGAAAACGTACTGGTATACTTTAGTCATTTTTAGAGAAAGGGTTGAAATAGAATCCGGCACGTATTGCGCACAAAAACAACTGCGTCCGTTAAGCCGGATTGATTGCTCCCAGAGCGTATTTTTGTAAAGTGCCAATCAGCGAGTACTTTCCCCTTATTACATCATCTCCCCAAATAGAAACTCAATCCATGTTATCTCTTCTGACAGACAATTCGGCCTTGAAAGCCGGACGTTTTCTATTTGAACGGCAAAACGCGGGTGCGGATACGGATGCGTATACGTTTATGGGTACGGATGTAGCATGAACCGAGCTTTAGTTTCTTTTGGTCAAGCTTTAGTTTCAGTATGGTGTTAACTATCATAGAGAGTTGGAAAGGCAGTGACAATTTATGAAGTATACAACGTTTGCCTAACCCATATACATTACAGTGCACACAACTGTAAGTTTTAAGGAATTTTTTTTTTGTAACCATGTGTTTTGCACGGGTAAAGCTACGAGAACGTAGCTAAAAACGTTGATGACCTGATGTGCTTGTTTATAGCTAGGATTGGGTGCTTTTAGTTCCAAGTGGCAAACTCAGTTTCTTTATTAATGCATGTAACATCTTAAAAACAAGATAATTTTATACTTTTATAACTAATTAAACTTACAGAGGCCAATGTAGTGGTACAACCTATCGCCTAACTCCGAATATTCGCGTTTAAATAGATGAAGCGTTGTTTTTAACCGACATACACCGTCATACATCTCCCGTTTTAAAAATGGCGTTCTCAGTTAGGGCTTAACGCCTCGAATTTAAATATGATGATTATACCTGGTTAATTATAGTTGGATGTGGCAGAAATATTATTAATAACAATAATCAATCGTCGTTTTGATGAAAAATATTGTCAATTTTGTTTACTGAGGCCCGATGTGATTTGCGTTGGGCTTTGCTACATGGAACTATATAAAACCATCTCTTATCTCGTAACACGGAGGGTTGAGAGATGAGGTTTGTTTTAACGGCACATATATACATATTTTTGCAAATAATGGCACTGTCCTTTCAGAAAAAAAGCTTTTTTTTTGTTTGTTCTAAAGTGTTCACTGATTGATAAGGATCAAGTTCATCTCAAAATTATATTTTCTTCGGTGCTTCTATTTGTCCAAGTAAAGAAAAGTAGTGGTTTGGCTATCATTTCTTTGACTTTGATAAAGCAAGATTCGAAAAAACATCGAAAGCTATGCCTTCTCAGTGACATCAGCAATTTAGCTTCCTATAGACCGTGTCAGCTGAGATTCATCCATTTCAATATTTGCCGTTGGGGACGTGCTTACTTTTATTCTCTTATGCAAACACAAGTCGACTAATCACGTGACTTAGAAAATGACAAACTCGTGTTTGTGCGTGCCGTGTATTTACACGTGGATTGGCTATAATCATTTGACCCTTGTCTATCGATCAGCACATGTACACTCAAGTGCTGACGTCACAACCATGACCTGACATCTGAGCACATTGACATAAACTTTACCACTGCTTGTTCGATCCTTTGAAGTTTGATGTCAACAGTTTCTGTTTGGATTTTAGCGTGCGTTTATAAAACTGTTTTTGTTCAAAGCTAGCAACCAAACAAATTTTCATGCAATCATCGTTTTGTTATTGTTGAAAGTTAGCGATGTCATTTTGCTGTCTGCACGAATCGTCTAGTATCAAAACATGTCAGACATTTGTTTGGTCCAACTTTTTGCCATCTGATTTTTTATTTATTTTGCCATTTCAATATATCACCAGCTGATGATATGGTCGGCTCATCAAAGGGTTGTTATAATTAGACAGACATTGATCTGCAGTATACGATAAAATAACCGGTTCTTAGTTTAGAAGGTTAAAGGAGGCAACTCAATATCATCCATGCGCACAGTCTTCGACACTGCAAACAAGACTTATTGGTCAGTTTAAATCAACATTGATGCTGTTATCTTAGCGTAAAAAGATGGGCTTCTGATATCCAATATTTAACACAATATGAAAATATTAAAATTAGCACAAGATTCGCGTGCCAATAGAATACTTCCGAGCGCCATTTGTAATGAAGCGACTCGATGAACGAGGCTAAACATACCTTAAAGGAGAATGCTACCGGTGTAGAATCGAATAACCAGACGCCAAAGGCAGTCATTCAATTTGGACTCTTCGCATATTTTGCCGAACACAACTGATTAGAAATTACAGTAAAAACAGAAACGATTTGAATATGAATCAGTTTATATAAATTCATATTACATTATTATATGCGTTGCGACCCACTTGTGTCCATTTTTAGGTGCCAAAGAATATGGATTTAGCTCCTTTAAACATAGATTATGCAAGAGCTAAATCTGCCTATTGCAGGTCTTTCTGTAGGCCTGAAATGGCCTGAAATGTTATCTAAATTATTAATTAGGCATTAATTAAAGATACATTATGTACGATTTAGATAAAGAGCTTACCATTATTGCTATAATAGCTCAAAAATAGATAATGCAAAATGAAAATATTGAAAATTTAATTCAAATTACTTCAAGTTATCACTGTTTGTAGTTTTGACAAGATGTGTGCATAGTGGTAACCAGAGCACTGGTATATTCGAGACTTAGCCTCGCTTTCCCATTTTTAAATTAAATTTTTAAATGGCAAACCGTTCTAATCTAGTTAACATCTCGGGTATCCGATGCCATCGAGAGTTGATTATGGTCTTGTTTTGTTAATAAATGTCTAATTAATAGGTTACATAACATTTCAGGCCTAGATGAAGACCTGCAATAGTCAGATTTAGTTCTTGCATAATGTATGTTTAACGTATCCAGACCATAATCAACCCTCGATGTCATCGATAGCCTGCGATATTCACTGGATTTGAATCCGATCTGCTGCTCAACGCTCATTGATGATTTAATCCAAAAATGGATAATCGTGACTGTTTTTTTATCGTACCGACTTCAGTAATGACGATCGAGGCTATGCCTAAAATTCGATCGCTAATATCTCGTTTCAGAGTTGAGCAATTTGACTGAAATTTTTAGCATATCCCCTTTACATTATCTAGTTTTTAACTAGCTCTTTATCTAATCTCCCATAATGCCCCTTTAATGAAGATGATCTAAATACACACTATCCATAACGGGTTTTGTTCACGAGCTAGAGTATGCCTACCCATTAAAGAACCCTGATATCACCCCTCAGTGGTTTTGTATGGCAGGGATACTACTTCGCGTGATTGCATTGGATTTGTTTCGTGCATTTAAAACTCGTCCCGTCTTTATCCATTCTTTCATAGTTACATTTACCTTTATCCAAATGATCTACACGAAGTACATATATATAAATATCAAAAATATGAAACTAACATATCCTCCAATCATTATTAGATCAATATAGTAGTTGCATAATGTTTTAATATAATAGTGAGACACGTTTTAAATCAGAAGCTGATATCACCATAAAAAATGACTTGTCTGAAAAATTCTATGATGACTCACATAATCAATAACTAAAGAATGTATGTTATTGGAAGTCTAGGATTAATTATGAACATGACAAAATCTAGGTGTGGACATATTTCTTTTTTTTACATAAATGTTAAAGTGTTTAATCATCATTTGAGAGACGTTTAATCCGCTGAGAACTACAATAATATTGTAAAAACTGGTTCCTAAAAGAAATATCAGCCCGAATATGGTTCAGTTGCGTTCAATAATTACAAAGATATGGTGAATTGAAAATTTATCAACATTGGGTATGCCCTGCAAACGATATTAACTGGAAATGGTCAGCGCAAGTCAGTGCTATCTACAATCTCCGCGAAAATCTTTGATGGACCGTGAAATGACAATCAGTGTTTTGGGGGCTTTTTTTATAAACAATATTTTTTCAGAAACTGAGGGGAACGGGGAACAGGCAAAGCCTATATAAACCCCTTTCCCGGATACAAATAAATTACATAATATTACAATATATTGAAAAACAAAGAAGAAAAAGGGAATAGATAATATGTATGTACACATAACCCAATAACAATATTTACACGTAAACATAAATTTGAAATAATTAAAATCGGCTATTTTTTAAAATTTAAAACTTTCGGGGTTTTTTTTTCAATAAAATTATGCACCAGGTTAAATATTGACACATTTTCGTCGTATGTTAGTGTTTCCGGTCCATATAGTAGCACTTTAATGTTTTGCTGTGTCGGAGGTAAAGTGTCCATTGTTCTATGGCAAGCATCTGAATACGAGGAACATATAAGGAGATAGTGAGTGATAACGATCTTCTATTGTATTACTACATAAACATTCGGGAGTA